TTGGCTGACCTTGCCAGACCTGAACAGAGAAAAGGGATGCTCTCAGCCACTGTCAGCCTTCCATCCAGGAGGGCTGTGCCCACTTCTCTCCTCTATTCCAGCACCCACAGTGGCTGGATGTTGCCATCTGGGATCCAGCATCTGCACATGTGGCTTTGGAGCACAGGAAAAGGAGTGTTACCCACTCCCATTCAGGACACAGGCACATCAGTTCCTTTGACGTGAGTGTGCCTGTTGTGGCAGGGATGGCCAGGACGTGTCCTCAGGGGCTGATTTCCTACCTGTGAGGCTGGGATCAGTCTGCAGACACAGTTACAACCTGGGGCTCAGGCATGCAATGAATGCACTGTGAGACACTGAATGAGTGCCTGGGAAATAGCAGGTGAAGGTTCTGAAAGGTGCTGGGGAGAGGGCACCACGGGAGCACAATCTGCAATGCAGAAGAGAGCACTGCATCACCTCTCGTGTGAGGTGGCAGATTAATCAGGAGTCACAGAGTGCATTTGTAACCTGCCTGGCAACCCAGCAGCGCTTCTCAACCCTACCCAGCTCTCTCTCCACACCTGAAAAACCAGCATAACTTTACATGTCACTCGTTAAAACAGGTCCTGCTCTGGGAGGAGAAAATACTGGAGCAAGGATGTGGTGAGGGGCAGGCAGCAGAGCCCCTCCTGGGTGTCTGTGGGGAATGAGGACTGACATCTGGGGAGGTCTCTGCTCCTGTACCTCTGCCTGCAATGAGGGCGATATTTCAGGGAAGGAGGTAAGTTTACCTGTTTGCCTTGCTCAATCCCTTCATTTCTTCCTTTCCTGTACCATTGTTGATGCTTAAAGTTTCCTCCTGAAGCCCAGATATCAGCAGATGGACAGGAACCTCAGTCCTGCCCTTTCAAGCTCTCTGAAAACTCCAACAGGTTTGCATCCATACAATTTTTCTTCATTTTTCATGAAAGAAACAGCAGGCGAGGGTTTTTTTGGGTTTTTTTTGGATCTACATATCCAGATTAGATGGAAGAGAAGATAGAAAAATGTAGAGACTGCCAGCTTCTCCCTCCAGATCCCTTTGAGAGGCTTTGGGAGGTGTCAGATGTTCACCTTCTCACTGGATTTCAGGACAGCAAAGCTGTGAGTGGAGAGAGATGTGGAAAAACAGTACTTTCCCGCCCGTTGGGATGAGGCCTTCCTGTTCTGCTTTTGTCAGACTTACCCAGATAACTCCCACAAATGCTTTCCAGCTATTTTTACCTATTTTCTGTCCAAGCAGCACTTTCTAGAGATGCAAACAAAACATGTAATTCATTCTTCTCACCTCACCTCCACTGCAACTACTCCTGTTGCCCTGGGTTTGTTTATTTGGGAGATGTTCCCTTTTCTTTCATGAAGCAAGCTTTTCATGCTGGATAATTTTGTGCTTGCCTTCAGCCTCTCAAGTCCTTTGAATAAGCCAAGCTGTCCATGAGATGGTGCCACACGCAGAGTTAAAACCCTACTTAGCTTACCAGAGACAGCAGACAGGGAACAGTCTTCCTAGGCACTGCATTTAATAGGGCATATTTATTACGTCTATTATTATTATAATCTGGACTCTTTCAGCTTTGGATATATGAATAATACAGCATCAAAAAAAAAAGAGAAGTTTTTAAAAAGGTGCTTTTATATATAGATAGATAAAGATAGCTCGCTGTGATTCATCTGCTAAAAATTGCTGCTGCTCCTTGTTTGTTTGTTTGTTTCGTTCAAGCAGAAATCGCTGGGCAAGATGAATGCCAGGAATGGGAATACAGGATAAGCCTAAATTTCACAACTTCTTGTCATGCTGGAAGGTTGCTGTCAAAACTTTGGTGCAGGTCTGGAATTTGCTTAGAGATGAAGTCGCAGCTCCGGGTGCAGCGCAGCAGCCGAGCACAGCCAGGCAGGGAGGCAGGGAAGAGCATCTGGCCCATGCAGGGATGAACGAAGGTCACTGTGCCTCCTCCAGGGGAAGGTTGCAGGGACTGGAGCAGGAGCTGTGCAGCCCCCACGAGCCAGCATCTGGATAGGAATGTCCCCCTGCACAGCTAAAATTTGAGTGGTTTCAGGGAGTCCTGTTATGTGTTTTACCTTGTGCCATATGAGGGTGTAAATTGTTGTGCCTGTTCTTCCGGCCAGGTGCAGAGGTTTCTCTGGTGGGGATCAGGGTTTGGAGTCGTCAGCCAGCACAGAAAAGAGACACTAAAAACCCTTCAGGCTGTAAAAATGACCCTTGAGCAGACAAATGTCTCACTAAGAAGTACAGATGGAGGTATTGCTGCTGGAGCTGCACCTCCTGACTACATTTTGGGCCAACTTCTGCATAGCTGTGAGCCAGTGAGAGACACAAAGCCCTCCCAAGCCACAGCACAGCGCACAGCAATAAACTCCAGCTCTGCTCTCCACCCCTACAGCTCTGTTTGCACCTGACAGGTGCTGCCACATCCACGGCCTGTGGCCTCCTTGTCCCTCAAGTGTCACAACAGAGGACACGCAGCCAGCAGTGGAACTGGGAGCAGCATCAGATCTCCACATCTGGTGTGGAACCTGGGCTTCACCTTCTGTAGATATCCTGGGGTCTGGTCCCAGTCACAGACAGGAGTCCAGACTGCCTGCTCTGGGCATTGCTAGGGATGTGTCAGAGTGGTTTTTCAGCTCTGCATGGGCACAGCCATTACCAAAGTCGAGTCCCAGTGGTCAGTTGGATCCTGCCTTGGTGGAAATAAAACACCAGTGCTTTGTAGCTTCACAGAGGGTAAGCCATAAAATAAAAATACTAAGGAAATAGCTGTAACAAACACTTGACATCCATCATGAGGGACAAGATCTGTCTTAACCCACTAAAACATTATTTGTTCTTTTTCCCAGGGGCCAAAACACAGCTCTTCTGCATGAGATATGTGTGTCATTGGATATGTGTGTATCCCTAAATTTAATTTGTCCAATTGCATTAGGACAAGCAGCTAATTCCAAAATTCATTTTGTTTCCATAATCAACCCCTCTGCCAAATGGCATTTGGGTGGAATTGTGGAGATTGTGATTTTTATTTAAAGTGATTTATTGAAATCATTAGCAATGTTCCCTAAGTGGAATCCATGGCAATCCTTTTAATCTTCCCCCCATCACAGTAAATGCAAACTTTTTTTTAATAATAGAGAGATTGAAATATAAGGTTATTAAAATCCACACTTGTGTATCTCTCCATGCTCTCTCCCTCTGTAATGGGCTGGAAACCATAACTGTGGAAATAAAGGCTCCCTTTCAGAGCGGGGATGCAGAGAGTGTATAATGAACAGTTAAGCATCTATTTAGTCACTTTGAATTGATAAGGGTGTTAATGAAAATGAAAGGAGCCAACTTGATTTCCGCTGCAGAGAAATACAAATGATGGGGGAGTGTTTTTGTGGTAGTGCCCTAAGCCCCTTTAATGGAGTCAGGGTCTGCAGCAGAACTCAGAGCTTCCCCAAGTGCTTTTCCAGCCTCTTCCCACAAGTACTCAGTGGAGCTCTAGGAAACTGAGGGGGTTTGCTCTGTGTCCCGCTGCAGCAAGGTCTGGGCTGTTGTCACCAGCTGTCCCCAGGCACAGAGAGCTGCCCTGTTGCCCCCAGCTCTGATTAATCTCCCCAGGTACTACACCTTTGCAAACCCTCTGCCTCCCATCACTCATCTCCATCCCCTCCTGGGAACACAGGCGTACAACACGGTGGGAGCCTGCCTGGGACAGCCACAGCTGAAGCCAGGCACAGGGATGGGTCAGCTGGACCAGGTGCTCTCCTGTTCCCTCTGCTTGATGCACTGGTGCCATGGCAACTGCTAGCACCAAACAGCTGTGGTGAAAGGACAGCTTTGGAGCAGCTTCAGTCCCCAACGACCAGTGGCCATGTCCTGGGGGTTGTTCTCTCCTTCTAAGAACATCAGGCAAAGGATGAGCAGAGCAAAGCCAGACTGCACTGTGCCACCCTTGCACTGAGCCCAAAATTCACTTCACATTGAAAAGTTTTTATAAAAAAAATAATATTGCCATATTTTCCATCTTGGAAGGATAAAATCTGGTGTGGAGAATCTGACAGAGAAGCCATTTGCCCTTAGCTCCTGACTACTGCCCTGGCCCTCAAAGCATCTCTGCAGCTTCATGCTCTGGAGGCAGAGTACCAGCTCCAACTCTGGACATCAAGATGCTGGGGCAGGGAGACAGCAGAACCTATCCCTTTGCAGGATATGTATCCATGCAGCTGCCCAGATATTCTTCTGTAACCAGTCACAGCTCTGTCACTTGTGAGAAGAAATTTTAGGATGTTGTTCAATGGTCCTGGGCACCAGAAATGACTGTGACATGGTCCATGCACATTCCAGGGAGAAAAGCTTTTTCCTCAGCATCTTCTTTGCTCCTGGGCTGGTACACTCTGTCCATCACCAACCCAAACCCTGGTGATATTATTGCACAGGAGATGTTGCCATTTTATTCTATACTCTTCCAACCCCCAGGCATCTGGCAGGATTGCTGCTGGCTGGTAACACACACAGACACACATACACACACACACAAAGTTAATCTTTTGCTGTTATTTCTCAGAAGCTCCATTTGGCTGCTTTCAGGCTTATTGTGGTGATTTTCTTGCCCCCGTGACAGCTGTTTCTCACATGGGGAAGCAGCACAAAAAAACCCCAACAAAACAAAAAACAGGGGGGCTGTGATTTATTTTCACCTCCAAATATAGAAAAACAATTTCCCCCTCTCTGAGATTTCCTCCTCTTTAAATATGTCCCACTGCCTTTAAACCAAGCCAGCAACTCAGTGATCGCAGCGATCCCACCACTACACTAAGGCAGATGAGCTGTATTTGTAGGGAACACGAACCAGTTTAAGACCATAATCAAGGTGACCAAGGCGGCTGGCTCTTACCAGTTGGCACAAACAGCTTAGCAGGGAGGGGACGCGGTGCGGGAGCTCAGCCTGAAACCCTCCGTGCTTTCTGCAAAGCAGCCCTCCCTCCGATGCCCAAACTTTGCGGGGCTGCGGGAGCGGGGCCGCGGGCAGCATCACTCCTGCGGGATGCCGGCGGTGGGATGGATGATGTCCGCCCCGCTGCCGGCAGCGCCCGCCCTGTGATTCCCGCCTGCCGCCGGCTCCGCTCCCAGACAAAGGCTGAGCTCAGCGCCCGCGGGCGGCTGGACCTGGGCTACCCACGGCAGCGCTCCCCAGCTTCCCCTGCACCTCCCCGCGAACACCCCGCCGACGGATCAGAGCTCATCTTTTGTCACCGCAAGGATTAACTCCCCGGGGAGCGGCGGCGGAGGCTGAGCCCACGCTGCCAGCCTGCTTCCAGCACGCTCAGGAGTTTCGGAGCCAAGCTCCCGGCAGCTAATCCCCCTCGCAGCCGGGGCCGGGGAGGATGGGGAGAGCCGGCAGGTGAAGGGACAGCAGGGAAGAGGACGGGAGGAGTGTCACACACACACACACACACACACCCCGCACACGGCAGCGGAGAGGATCGGATCGGATCGGATCGGCGGCTGCGTGCGGGGAGCTCCGCAGGGACCCAGCCCGCAATGAAACCAGCTGGAGCATCGGGAGAGAGGATCTGCTCGCTTGGATAAGTCTTTAAGGTAAAACCCGAGACCGGCCGCTTCTGGAGCGGGTGCTGGGCTCTCTGCCGGCATGCTCGTTGTCTCTGACTTGGTTGTGTTTTTAAAGGAATCGATCGGGAGATGCCGGTAGAAGAAGTTGCCGAAAGCCAGGCTGGAATGGGCCGGAGCTGCGCGCCGCCGGCCCCGTCGCACAGCGGAGCAGCCGAACTTTGTGGGGTCTGAGCGTTCATCCCCTCTGCGAACGGGAGAGCCAGCACCGCACCGCGCACCTGGAGCCTGACCGAGCCTGGGGCAGAGCCAAGGGGGCATTTCTGTCTCAACAAGGACCATCGCCTCTGAAACAAAAAACAAAAAAAAAATAAAGCTGGAGAAGGGCAATTTATCTTTGTTTTCCAGATGACTGAAAATATCTACAGGATCCTGTCTCTCCGGTGTTCATCGGTGAGTAGCATAAGGGACAGGCGGCTGAGGAACAAAAATGATATCGGTCAAAATCATTCCAGCACCTACTTTTTCCTAAGGAACTTCATGCCCATAGGGGTTTTCTGCGGGCATTTCCAGGAGTGAGGCGAGGTACCACAGATGCATCCCGACCGGATCATGTAAGAATTTGCAAATGAGAAACGTACCCCATCCAGACCTTCTCTGCCCGCTTTGCAGTACATGGTTTGGTGTAAGCACAGCAATTCTCACCTCCTTCTCTCCCTTTTAAGTCTCTTGAGCTTGGAGACCTCTTTCCTCATTGCAATTATGATTATTTGCAACATCAGTGCCATCAAAGATTGGAGCACTTTCCTTTCCCAAATCCTCCCCAGCGTTAACAAGACTCTGAACTTGGTACAGCAAGTGGAAGCCACCACCAGCTCGGTGGTGAGTGTCCTCCAGGACCCTGAGCAGGACAACTACCTGTCCAATAGCCAGTCCATGAACTCCAGCAACTTCACAGCTGGCCTGGACCACTTGTTCCAGTACTCATACTCGGACAATGACCAGCTCTACAAGGAGTACAAACCCCCTCCTCGAGATGCCATTCCTCTGCCCAAGGCTGTCCTCTACCTCCTCATGGCAGCCCTGGTGGTGGTGGCAGTGGCGTACGCCATCGTCGGGCATCTCATCAAGGACCTCATCTACGACTTTGTAGGTGAGTGTGGGCTTCATGCATTGTGTGCTTGTGGCCAAAAAGAGCCTGGTGCCAAGGCTGGACGTGCTGCCTTGCATGTCTCCTTTGATTTGGGTGGGTTTTAGACCAATCTTTGACCCTTTCACATTTGCAAGAGTGTTGGTTAATTTAATGTGCTGGGTTCTCCAAACTGAGTTCTGTGTTGACCATCTTCCCAGAGAAAATCCTTGGGTTTAGCCCCCTTCCTCAAGGAGCAGATCTTGTGCCTGTGTACGTGTGCATAAATGTGTGTCCGTGAGTCTGGGTTGCCAAATGTCTGTAAAATCCCTTGGCCAGTTTCAACTTGAGCTTGGACATTAGAGGTTTCCAACGTGAAAAGTTTCATGGCAACAGCTACCTGAGCACAGGACAACAGTCCACTAGTGCATAGTGAAAGAAAATCTGCCATATGAGCTTAACCCCTTATTAGACACCAGTGAGTCTACAAACTCCTAGGAAACACAGATCAGCAACCTGGTTGCCTTAGAACAGTCATCACAGCCCTGCAACAAATCCATGCAATGACAGCCCAAAGAGGGTATATTTTTTGAGATTTGCCTTCCTCCTCTTTGGTTTCATCCAGTTGCTGATGAATGCTGTCCCGCACCATCAGGGCTGAGAGCACAAACACTGCTGGCTGCTGTGGTCAGGCACAGGTGCTTGGCTGCTTATGACAAGCTTTCAATGATACTCTTGCTCTTTGCCCCATAATTTGTAAGGCTGGTCGTGCTGGGGAGTGCAAATGGGCCCAATTCTCATTTGAACCCCTGGTACTTTTGGCCCCTACACCCTGACACCCATTGTGTCCTTCTGAGGGTCAGGGCCCTGTTTCAATTACAGTTTTCCAGCTTGGATAGGGATCCAGAAGGGATCTCCAGAGGGATTTGAGCTCCTGGCTCCTGCAGATGTGCACAATCCCCAAAAGCTCTGGGTACAATGCCCTGCACAGGGAAAGGAGGCTGAAATCCCTTTGCACAGCCTTGCTCTGAGCCTGACCCCCAGCCAGGGTAGAAGCCCAGCAGGTTCCATCTCTGCAGGAGGAGGGAGGTCACACTCATCTGGAACAAAATCCACGTGTTCATTCATGATTCCCCTTTATCTCCCTGCTCCTGGGACACAGGAGACACAGAGCAGCCAAAACTCCAGCCAGTGCTTGGGGGTGGGCAGCACCCCTGCCCTGCTGAGGGGAGAGCAAACCAAGCCCTTTGGGCAGATGGTCATGACCAGGCAAGGGCCAGCAGCTCCAGGACACAGGGATTTAGAAGGGGGTTATTTGGGACAAGAAAGGTCAAACCTCCTGGCAGGAGCAGTACTTGGGGTCTCACATGAGGCTGAGCCTAGAAAACTGCAGGATGCTGCTGCTGAGGAGTTTTTCTTTGCTCCAGATGGAAGGAAACGGATATATTGTCTTAAAGTGTTAAATTTAACACTTAATCAGCAGCTTGCTGGGGCTGTGCTCATCTGATTTCGTGCTGCCTTCCCCACAAAGGTAGGCAGTGGGGACAGCACCTAAAAATATCCCCACTCCTGCCCCAAGAAGGTCAAAGGACCGGGTCAGGTCAGGTTAGAAACTCCCCCGAGGCAGGGGCAGCCCAGTCCCAGTGTCCCCACAGAGCAGACACCCCTGTCCCCATTGCTGTGGCCCCTGATGCAGGAGAGCAGAGATGTGGGTGCTCAAACCACCCTTGGGTGGGTGCTGCAAAGCAGGGCAGAATCCACAGAAATGCCCTGTCCCTGCAGGCACAGAGGGGCTGCAGCTGCAGTCAGGGGCACCTGGGCCCAGGTGTGCTGCTTCCAGCTCGGCACCAGTGTTCCCTGCTGACCTTTAGCTTGAGCCTCTGCGTGGGATGAGGTCAGCAGGGTGGCCCTTCTCTTGCAAAGCCCTTTGCAAAGGGACTGCCACAGCCTTTCACAGCACCAATCACGGCGACAGCACTGGGGTCTGCTTGCTTCCTGACACTTTGGAAGAAGCCTTTTCCCAGTTTAACACCCCTGGCTGCAGGCAAAGCATCCTCCCTGCCCTGGGGTGAAGTAATATCTCTCCAAGTTATGGTCAGAAATCCATATGTGAGCTTCTTCCTCCTCCAGGCAGAGCGGAGAAGGCACTTCCCAAACTCCAGCGGCACCCCTCAGTGCTGAAGGCTGCCTCCAGCTCATCCTAGTTAGCACTCCAGGCCCATCTTCCCACAGTTTTTACACTTAAAATGAGCCAGTCCTCGGAGGAGAGCGGATGAGACCATGTTTGTTAACACTGCCAAGAAACAGCTTTTAAAGAGAAGAGGTTTCATTTGAATGAATTTGCATAAAATTACTCTAGGGACTGGACAGAGAGACCAAGGGACAGTAAATAAGAATCTGCTCTATTAGCTGCCTTAACACAATGCCTGGATTGATATACTCAGCAGCAACTCCAGCCTCTGCTATCAGCATTTCTGCACTAATCATGTTCAGAAATACACAGGGAGAGATGGAAATAAGATGCCAAAGGGCTGGAGCCTGTTTCAGGGAGATTAAAGTGGCAATAGTTAATCGCTGCTTTAAACAGTCACTGGGAGGCAGCCGGGATGATTGTGACTCCTCAATACCAGCTTGTGGGACATGGCTTGGGGAGTCAAAGCATCAGCCAGGCCCTTGCTCCCACAAGAACAATGAGAAGCAGGTGCTAGGCTCAGTTTTGGATGGTGAAGGGGTTCCCGGGATGCTGCCAAGGTTTTCTCCCTGCGAAATCTGAACGGGTATTTGAGACACCGACACCTCTCTTGCAGATCTTATAAAATCAATTAGAGCTTGCCCAGGCATCCCTAGGGGGACATGAGCACTGCTGTGATGCCCAGCAGACTGGGGAGGAGAGGAAAATGGGAACTGCATAGGAGAAGGAGGAAAGATGCATTGTCGGAGAGCAGGAAGGCAAAGCACCTGGGTGTGGATAAGAGGGCTCTGAAAGAGCCCCTGTTCAGCTCTTCCTGGAGAGCCCCAAACACCTTCATTTCTCTCCAGTCTCACGTTTGGCTTTCCCAAAACTCATCTGATGTCTCTGCTTGGGGTTGGACGTGAGTTCCCCGAGGAGGGTGGGAGGAAGGCTCCTGCGTGAGCAGGCTCAGACCCCACCAGCAGTCGAGGCAAATTGGGTCGAAGCGTTTGGAAAGCTGCTTAACTCTGAAGCGCTGGAGAGCTGCCAGAGCCGGCGCTGCGGCGAGGAGCGGGCTTGGCAAATGACAAGGCTGTCACCGCCGTACGAGGCGCCTAATTACTGCAATCCCGGGAATCTGCCCGCCCTCCCTTCTCCGGCCCCGGCAGCTCGCTGAATATCGCTCCTATTTGAAATTTATTTTTTAAAAAAAGGAGGAAAAAGGGGGGAAAAAATAAAAAGTTTGACTGGAAACAAAGGTGTTGCCATGGAGACTGCACGCGTGTGGTGGCCGGGAAAGGGGACAGCATCATCTCCTGCACGGGGAGGAAGGCTCTGCTGGGCTGCGTGGGAGCCGCGCCTGGCAGGAGACCTTGGCTGCTGTCCCCCGCTTCAGCCAAGGCTCCTCCGGGCTGCTCATCTCCAGAGAGGCCTTGGAGGGAACTTTTCCCTCGGGAATGGGCCCAGGGCAGATGCCCAGCAGGTTCATTGGCACTAGCAAGACTATGCTGGTCGATGGCTTTGGCGCTGCTCAAAGCCCTACGCCATCCTTGGAGCAGGGTCCTTCTTTTCTTTGCCCTTTTGACCCACCAGCCATATTTTTGTTTTTCAGCCTTATCTCCAGCCACCACATTTCAGGCTTCTTTAGGAAACGGTCTCCTTGAACAAAGAAGCTGTGCATGAATGTGGCATTGCTGAAAATAGCTGCTGAGTGATCCTGCAGGGACATGGGATCCACTTTTAATTGCTCCACACAGAACCACAGGGCTCTGAGGATAATTCAGCCCAGGCAGGGATTGCAGACAGCATCTTAGGTCCATCAGAGAGGACTTATACCTCTTCTTTTCCAGCTCTGTTTTGAGGATAATTCCTTTGCCTGCCAAAGTTGTGGGAAGTAACCACGTCAGGTTCCCTTCTGCTTTTCTATCTTGGTTCTAACCCACCTCTCACAGTGATCCCCTGCCTGTTTCCCTTCTGGTGCATGGGGGTGCATCAGGAGTTCCTGAGGTGTTGTTTGGGGAAGCAGTGGCTGCTGTAGGAAATTCACCACTCCCCTCACAGGCTGGGGCTGGAGGGGTGGTCTGCAAAGAGGGCCCACTCCAGGACAGCTGCATTTGAGGCCAAACCTTTGGAGCTCAGAGCTGGAGGAGAGGAATGGCTTCCAGCACACACTGCCAGGCACTGACCAAGGCCTCAGGGATGCAGCATCCCACAGCAGCTTTCCCATTCCTTCCATCATGTGGTGCAGGGATGGGCTGTGTCAGGTCCAGGGATGGGCTGTGCCAGGTCCTGGGGGCGAGGGCTGGGTTTGTCTGCTGCCCTGCAAGCACTGCTCTCCCTTGAGCTGAGACCCAGCAGGGCTCCTCACTCTCTAGTCACCTTCACTCTGCCTCTGGAAGACATGGACAGCAAATATCCACCCCCAGGACCATGCCTGCCTCCCACCTACCCCACCTGAGCCACCACCTCTCAGAGACCCATTCTCTGGAGCTGCAATGCTGCCGGATGGGTGGGACTGGCATCAAATGCAGGCTTGGTCCAGGGTTGCTCTGGTGCATGCAGAGAAGCTGTTTTTAAGAGAATATCATAATTAATTGAGTGCCTTTTCCACGTCACCCCTTCTCCCACCAGATGCCTCCTGCTGGTGACAGCTCTGCAGAGGAACAGTGTCCTTACCTGTCCATCAGCAAAACAGAGTGCTCCCCATGCTCTTTGGGGTGCAGGACAATTTTGACTCAGCCAGCACAGCAAAGCTGAGAAATTTCTGCAAAGCAGGGCAGGAAGAACAAACCCTAACATCAAATTCATTTAGAAAGAAGTGAATCTTCATTTAGAAAGAAGTGAGGGGAAAAGAGGGATTTCTAATAAATTACCGTTGCTAGGGGCAGACACAGATTTTCCATCAGAACAAACCTGGGAGTTATCTGTTGATTTTGCTAATGGATAAGTAGAATCTGTCCAGCAAATGAGACAGCTACAACATCCAGCTGTGACTGCTGCATCATGTCAGAGACACGAGGGATACCCTTGAACTCATCTCCATTGGGAATGCTCCAGCCAGAGCTGGCCCTGCCTTGCTGCAGAGCAATGTGATTGCTGGGTCAGAACTTGTTTCAAAGAAAGAGGTGCTTCTGCTCCTGCTGATGGGAAAAGAGCTTTTTTAGCAGCTGCTTTCACACCCAGCTCCATTTAAAGCAAAACTAGAGCACGAGTTTGATTGTTCATCGAACATGTCGCCCCTTCCTTTCCTGTTTCCATCTCTACAGGGACTGTGAATGTCTCACTCACCAGGCTGCATTTAAATTTCAGCCCTTTCTCCCACCCCCTTCTGCTCTTCTGTCTGGGATGTCTCTTTTTCAGCAGCTGAAGTGCCTCACAGAGATCCCACCCTGCCACCAGTGAATGCAGGGGACTGTGCCACCCCCTTGGGGTGACACTGGGCACAGGGCAACCCTGTGCCCCTCTGCACCCAGACAACAGGAGGCTGCTCCCTGCTGCCTGCCCTGTCAGGGCTTTCTGGGCAAGGACCAGCTGCTCATACAAAGGGCACACTGTGACATCTGGGCATCCCCAGTGTTTTTGTGTCCCCAAAAATACAGCAAATCCCAGAGGTCCTACTTCCAGGGGTGCTGTCAAAAACTGAGAGACAGGCAGGTGCAGGGGCATTTTGTGCCACATCACTCTGCTACTTGGGGATAATAATAATAGTAATAATAATAACAGAATTGCTATTCCACAGCTGCTGATTTGCCCAGTCTGCTCTATCTCCTCTCTCCAGCTGCTTTGGATCAATCACTCCATATCGATCTCACCCCACCTCTCCACTGGCTCTGCAGACCCCAGCAGGCCCACTGATCCTCAGCAGCACCTGACCAGCAGGAAGAGGTGCCTCTGGGTTAGATGCTGCTCCTCAGCCTGGCTGAGAAAGTCACTTTGTTCCTCTCTTTTATCCACGACATTCACAACACACACCCCTGGACATGCCCTGGATTTTGCAGCATGTGTTATGAGCTCCTTCCAGTGGCTGGGTAGGGACAGGCAATGCTTCTTCTTATCTCCAAAGTGTGACTGTCCTGGGTGTGGATGTGCCACTGCCCCAGGAGCACAGTGTGGGATCCCTCCTCACCCCAGCTCTGCCTGTAGCTGTCCCAGATCCATTAGGTGTCTTAGGTTCAGCCTAGCTTTTCTCACCTTCTGGCTGGAGATTGTGTGAACTCCTATGTGGACTTAGACCCAAAAGAGGACTTTGTTTTCCTCTGTGTGTATATTTTTTGTGGCTCATGCATCCCCCTGCCAGCTGTAAGGGATGGAGAGAGAAATACCTGACACGGTGCTGAGGGCTGCAGGTTCCTTTGGCCAGTCACCAGCACCCCTGGGCTTTCAGCCCTTGGCCATCCCCCTTACCCAATTACACCCCTGTGCAGGGTTCATTATTCAAGATTTCCAGCCTGTGTTGGCACATGACATGAGGCTGTCCTTCCCATCCCCTGCAAAGTTCCTTCCACATCAGAGCAAGATTTAATCCCATTGACGCCAAAGATGTGCAGGTCTCCTCTCTCTCCTCCCTCATCCCTCCCCAGACACGCCATGGGTGCCCCCAGGAGACCTCAGTTCCTCCCCCTCACACTGAGAGGAGCCAGAGGGAGCTGCTGGGGAGGATGGAGCCTGGCTGGGATGGAATTGGCAGCGCCTGGCAGGGGACACGAGGGCGGTGACATTTTTATGGTTGTTTCTCCAGGGTCCTGCTGGCAGGAGATCCTCTGCCAGCTCCACGGGGCCTCGCTCCCCTCTTCCACACATGGCAACACGCTGAAGTTACAGGCCATAAATGGCCACAAATAACATGTAATTGTGTAATTACTTCACTCCTTACTTACACAGTCAAATCATAAAGGCATTGCAGTAAATACCCTCTAATGACAGCCTAATTACATCTTCCTGCAGATTACTGGGTAATTAGATCCAGCAGGCTCCAGAAATAATTCCCAGGGAAGCAGTGGTTCGGATTAGCACTCACAATCCAGCCTGCTCTCACCCAGGACCTGGACTGTGGCAGCCCCACACAGCCACATCCCCTTTGGTGACAATGCATGTGTCACTTCTCCCGTGCCAATGGCTTTTGCTGGTGCCTTTGGTGCTGTCCCAGCACACCCACCCCCTGCATTTCTCTGCCTTTACCACAGTGCCTCATCCAGCTCTTGCTTCTTTTTGTGCCTACAGATGTCAACAGGGGTCCATCATCTGGCCACCAGATGCCACTCACCCCTGCTCACAGGCATGCAATGCTCTTTGCTCCTCATTGCACACAGCAATCCCTCTCCAGCGGCTCCCAGGATATTTGAGGACCCATAACTCCTTTTCTAGAGATTATTCCCCTTCCTCCTTGCAGCTCCCACTGGAGTTTTATGGCTGACGTCAAGGAAGGCGAGCTGAGAACTGTAATAGTATTTGTAGGAGGCAATCCTGTTACTGCCTTCAGCTTCTCCTCACGGCAAGCAGCTCTCTGTGTGGGGGCTGCAGCAGCCTGCAAGGTCCTGGGGCCAGGAGGCTCTGTCTGGGATAGAACCAGACCACAGAGAAGGTGGTGGAGTGTTTGGCCTTCAGTCCAAACCCAGTAAAGCCAAGCAAAATCAAAGCTGTAAAGGAAAAAAGCCCCAAATGAGCCTTCTGGGCTTGGCTGATTTTCCTTGGGGAAGGGTTGGGATGGGGAGCCCAGCCTCAGGTGGGTTATGCAACTGAAAGCTAAATGTCCTGGTTGGGACTCAGGGCAAACTCAGGGCTCCCCAAAAACCTTTGGACTGCTTCCTTGCTGAGTTTCCCAATCCCTCTTGCCAGCCCAGTGGTGGCTGAGGGAGCTGTGGTGGTTCTCCTGCCTTTCCTGTTGGACAGCCAGCAAACCCTGCTGGCACAGTGATGAAGGTGAAGAAAATAGGAAAACCAAGGAAAAGCTGTCACTCTCTGGACATGTTGCCAGTGCCCAGTGTCACCACAGAGCTCTGCCCTCCTTGGAGACAGCCCTCTCCTCCAGCCAGCCCATGCTGGCAGTGGGGCACAACCCCTCCACTCCCTGTCCCTGGCAGGGTGGTCACCTACCCTGGCTCCAGAGCATGAGCATCACCCTCAAAGTCATGTTCTGCTCTCTTGGGGATGCTGTGGCCAAATGGCTTCAGGCTGGGGAAAAAAATCAAACATTGCATAGCAAAAACAACAAAATTTTTGGCTTTTCTTAAAAAAAAAAAAAAAAAAAGGGAGAATTTTTGCGTCTCTCAAAAAAAGCCCAAATTTTGACTTGCAGTGCACACACTGAGCATAGAGAGGCCCACAGGTTATTCCTGTCTCTCTGCTCACACCTGAAGAAATGTCTGGCCACCACTGGTGAGCTGAGAAATGAGATCTTCCATTCAACTTCACACCTGGCATCCCACCCTGCCATTTGCCATTATCCAGTCCTAGTTTTGCTACAAAACTCTTTTCGACAGCCCATAAGAAAGACATCTCACTGGGATGGCATTCCCTCTATCATAACTGGAATGTCCTGTGGGGAGAGAAAACACCCCACAGCACAAAGGAGAGAAATTGTATTCTGTGAGATCCAGGGGCAAGTAAGCAGAATTCCCCAGGGACAACAAAATCAGGCTGGTCCTTCTGTCTGCCTCCTGGTAGCCTCTGCTTTATTTTGGTAGCAGAGGTAAAGCAGAGGAGTGCTGGTGCTCCACTGCCCACAGCCACAAGGTTTTGGGGCTGCTCTCCCTCACCTGGATTTCCCCAGCTTTGGTTTCCTCATTGCTGGTGCCTTCCCATCTCAGTGGGCTGGTGCATTCCCATCTCAGTGGGCTGTGGCCTCTCACTGCCCAAACAGCCAAGTTTTTTAGAGACAGCAGTTTGGGGAGCAGCACTGCCTGCTTTCACTCAGCTGCCATCCATTGTGCTGCAGGGGATGTTCCAGTCACGCTGCCATCCAGCAGTGACACTGCATTTTGGAGGGACATCAGTCACCCCCAGGGTCATGGATCAGCTCAGAACCAGGTCCTGGTGGAAGAAGCACAGTCCTAAAACTGCCATGGAAGGTTTGAGGCCCTGGCATGGCTGTAATGTAGTCTCAAGGCATAAAAGCCATGTCCCAGCCACATCTCCAGCCCCATTTGGATGACACATTTAATCACTTATTCTCTCTGACAGCAAAATCCCACTTTAGGAAATAGATTGCTGGAGACCCCAGATGCACGCTTCACTTTGGAGGCACGTCACTCTCATTTTTGGGATTAACAGGGTGATTTCATCTGCCTAAGCTGGGAGGGCTTCCAGAAACCATCAGCCTGAAAACAGCCCAGAGCTGGGAAGAGCAGAGATCCCAGCACCAGGGGAGTGGAGGGAGCTGGGAGCTGAAGGGGCAGGGATGGGCAAGGGACACTCCTGGAGGGGAAAGCACCCAGTTAGAGGTAGGGTGTAGCTGAGGCAGGAATTTTCACACAATTTCAGAGCCTTGAGCTCTAGGCAAAGAGCTGGAGGTAACCAAGGGCTTGTTTTGTGCTTTTCCCTCCTCCAGACTGGATCTTTGGCCCCAACCCGGATGACAACAGCAACAAGAGCGACATCAACTGCATCAGCAACAGCGTCAACGAGATGAGCGAGCTGCCCGAGGCGCCGCAGCGGCATCCCCGGGAGCGGCAGCCCCAGGACGTGGTCATTGCCATCAGCGAGACCTGTCACCTGCCGCAGCAAACGTGACCGGCGCCACGCCCGGGCCGGGCGGGATGGAGCAGCGGGATCGGCAAGGAGCAGCGGGATGCACAGCAGGGATGGAGCAGCGGGATGGAGCCATGGAACAGAGCAGCAGCCGCCCCGCAGGGCCGGGCGGGGAGAGGATGGGATGGGCAGAGCCGGCGCCCTGGAGCAAAGCCCTCCTCCCCCTGGTTGTACCAGCCTCTAAGGACCTTGTGGGGGTGGGTGGCATCACCCCTTCTCCCAGGCTTGTCAGCCCTTGGGTTTGTGACCCCCTCTTTGTTCCCTGTGAATAGCAAAAAAGAAAAAGCAAATGCAAAATACACCCACCAGACAAAGCTTGCAAGAGGAATGAGCTGCAGAGAGAGGCCGGGCAGTCCTTTGGCATGTGGCTGTCATGGAATGGTGTGGGGAAAAGGGCAAAGGAAACAAGGAGGCTGCAGAGAAATGTGGTGTCTGCACTTCTGGGGACAGGCCCAGGGCACAGCAGGGAGCTGGGAGCTGCAAAAAGGCACAGAAAGGTCGGCAGGGGCCAAATCCCCCAGTACATTGGTGATCTGCCTGGGCCATCACTCCTGCCTTCAGTTCTGCAGCTCCAGCTCACCGCCCTTTCTAGCAGGTGTGTCCTGTGGCTCTGGGACAGCAGGGTGACAGCCCAAGCTGCCCAGGGAGCCTGATTCTTCTGGGCCTGTAACCAAACCAGGGCCATCACATTCCCTCCAACACACCTCTGCTTGAGCCCAGCACCCCCTGGCAGGGAGCAGCCCTGTTGGGACCAGGTACAATCCATTTTTCTGAGGAAGGTTTCTGGAGAGGAGATCAGGGACCCATCTGCATGAAATCCAAACTCTTTGTGGGGGAAAATAGCCCTTGTATGTCTGCATCCTTCAGACCCATCCCAGTGTGAGCACCTCCTACATCACCCTCAGAATTCCTGCCACCCCAAGGGGTGCTGGTTTTGTACTGGGGTCAGCCCCACATACAGTGATGGAGCAGAGACACCTCCCTGTTCTCCCTGGACACCTTCCTCTTCCCAGCCAGAGCACACCAACCAAAACTGCCCTTCTCTGTGCCCAAAGACATCCTTTCCCATTTGTAGATCCCTGCTCCTCACTGTTTAAGGGGCTCGGGGGAAGCCAGCAACAGCAAATGTGTGGTGCAAGCTCCCAAACCATGTGGGAAAAGGAGCATCCTGATGGCTTCATTGCTGTTTTAAGATCAGCTCTTCAAAACCTCAATACAGGTTTTAAACCAGGATCCATAATTTCTCTGTGTAGCACAGTGGAGGCACTGGGACCCAGCTCATTCCTTGTGCCTCTCCTTTATGAAGATCCCTTTGCTCTCCACATCTTCCCTGAACTTAAAAAAAAGGTTATGCTGGTGTGCCACAGAGCCAGTCCTGAGATGGGGCCGAGGTCCAGACTTGTGCATTCAGGGATGCAAGTCCTGCCTTTTCCCAGCCTGCAGCGCCCAGCACAGCACAAACAGAGGGGCCAGAACAGCATCTTCCCCTTCTGAAGGTGCTTAAGGAAAATGAATGTGGTTTCAAACTCCTGCTCCAAGGGCTTTAATGAGAGCCATTATCAGCAGTCCCACCCTGGGCTGGGGCTTTGTCGCTTTTCAGCAAGTGACAGTGAGGACAGTACCCCAGACCTCCCCCCGTAATTAACCATTTCCGATCTGACAGTGTTCTCTATTTTGCCACCGTCATTTTTCTCTGTGGTTTTTTTGTTTGTTTGTTTGTTTGTTTTGGTTTGGGTTTTTTTGTTTTGTTTTGTTTTTTTTATTTGAGTCCTGGGTTTGTGGCGTGGCTGCTCTGGCACCTGCCAGGCTTCCTGGGGCTGGACAGGGGTGCTCCATCAGCACAAGGGGGATGCTGGGGCATGATCCCCCCAGTGACTGTCACCCCTGCAGTAACCCCCTGCAGCACCAGAGCTGGCTGTGGGCTGGGGAAGCCGGGAAGCTCCAGATTCGCGGGGTTCAGCAGGTTGGGCAGGGAGGGATTGGTTTGTTGCTCCCTGCTCTCTCAGCATCAACAGGGTGGACACCGGGGTCACGCAGGTGAGGGACAGTGACACACCGTGTGTCACAGTGGCACTGCTCACCATGGGGACACGCCACTCCTGGGCACAACCAGTCCCCCCATGGCTGCACCGCAGCCCCATCACCCATCAGCGGCTTGGAATGAGGTGGAGGCTTCCCTGGGCATGGAGGCAGCCCCCCTGCACTCCAGCCGGGCTCTGGCTCCCTTCCTGAGACCTTCGGGGTCCCACAGGACCCGGTTTGGCCCCAGGAGATGCTCCCGCACCGAGCAGCGGCTCGCACGCTGGGCTGGGGAGGCTGCTCCGGAGCAGGAGCCGAGGGAAGGAGCCCAGGTGAAGGAAGGAGCCCAGGCGAAGGAAGGAGACGAAGGAAGGAGCCCAGGCGAAGGAAGGAGCCCAGGCGAAGGAAGGAGACGAAGGAAGGAGCCGAAGCTCCCTCCTGTGGCCGCCGGAGCCGGGCAGGGCTGGCAGGGAGCGCCCCGAGCCCTCCGCTCAGCCTCTCTGAATTCCCCCTTTGCAGGGGTGCCAGGGGGGTCCTGGGGCTGTGCCCATCTCCAGGAATGACCAAGCACTGGGTGATGCTACTGCAGTGCCCACAGCGAGGGGAAACACCAAGCTGGGCAATGCCACAGCCAGGGTTGCCACCAGAGCTCTGCGGGACCCCGGGGCTGCTTTCAGAACTGACCCCACTGGAATCTGCCAGGAATGGGGGAACACCACAGAGGGCAGCTGTTCCCCACACCACCTCCCTTCACATCGCCCCTTCCCTGCATCCCTGCCATCATCTTCCCCCTGCTTTTTCCCCAAACATGTCACCAGAGCCCACACCAGTGCTGAGCTCTGAGGCTGACTGTGAGCCTGCAAGAGTCCCAACACCACGGAGCCTTTTTGCCAGGCACAGCATGGCTTTGGGCTGCCACAGCCCCATCCCTCCAAGATCTCAGGGTCTCTCTGTCCACCCATGGAGGGCATCACCAGTACCCTCAGAGGACCTTTGAAGCAGGGTGGCAGGACAGGACCAGGCAGATGAGTGAGGAGTGTTCTCCATTTTTTTGTTTGGGGTGTGCTAATGGTAGAGCATCCTTGTGTGCTCCTCTCACTCACCAGAACCCCCTCTGCAGGCTCAGCTGTCCTCCTCAGCCCTCTCCTTGCCCTCTGAGCAGGGGACAAGTTTCTGGTGATCCAACAGCAGGGACCCAGGAAGAGCATGGAGGGGCTGCTTTGCCCAGGGGAGGATTTTTGGGGATGCTGAGGAAGAGGGGGTCTCATGAGTGTGCCAGGCTATTCTGACTGCACCTCTTTAGTGCAGGAGGTTGCTCTTTAATTCCCTCCTTCCTCCCCTAAGCGCCTTAGGGAGCAGAGAGGAGAGATGCTGCTGCTTTTTATAGCAGCCATAATCCCTGCTGCTCACACTGCCTGCACCTCCTGCCCCGAGACACAGGGCTGAGCCTCCAAAACAGGGCTGCTGCCCAAAAACTGCCTCCAAATCCTTTGGCTCCCAGCACTGCCTCTCTCCCAGAGCACAGACCCCAGCTGGGGGTGGGTCTGGACTCAAGACACATTTTCAGGAAGGGTGGGACAGCCACAGGTGCTGCATTCTGACACGGAGGGACAGACAGACACGTACAGAGACACACAGATGAGCACCAGAACAACTGCCTGGCCTCCCTGCTCTCCGCCAGGACTTGTGGAACAGGAACCAACCCCACAGCACAGCCACAAGAAAGCCCTCAGGCACAAGAGGAGACTGGGGGTTTCTTTCCTTTCTATCTCCCCAACTTTACAAAAGGGAAGCTGAGGCAGGGAGGGAGCAGGGTTAACCCTAACCCTGATGAGGGTAGGCAGCTGATGAGCTTCCAAGTAGATGAAGCCTTTCTTTGGATGTAACCCCCAGGCTGTGAGCTTCAGTACTTTGTCAGGATCATTTTGGCGTTGGGCTGCCTGGTTTCCCTCACCCAGCCTGTGCCTGCGAAGCCACAGATGGCATTTGAGCCATCATCCCTGGGCATGAAGGGACTGAGGAAAAGGGATGTGAAGTGGGGCAGTGGCAGGTTTGGTGTGGGGCAGGAGAGGCACATTTCACCTCCTGTGGCTGTCCTGGTGGTCAGTGCTGTCCTTGCAGCCAGCCCCATTCCTGGTGTGTCCCCACCCCAGGACCACAGCCACCACGGGAGGGCACGGGCACTGCAGCTGCTTTTTTCCCATTGCCATTGCCCTCTCCAGCAGCTCTGCTTTTGCTTCTCTCCAGCCAAAAGTCCCCCTGCCTCTGCACTCTGCCAGGAGGAACCCAGCACAGCTCTTGACCTTTCACTGTTTCTGTTCTGCTGCCCATGCTTGGGCAGATGACATTTTCTCTGCCCACCCACCCCAGCTCAGAGGGTCTCAGCAGTGGGCAGCCTGGCAAATCCTGTCTGAAACCACTTTGTCCTGCCGGAGGTCTGGTCCCTGTCTCCCACAGCTTCTTTGCAACACATTTGCTGTAATTTTCCCTTTAAACACCCCACAGAGGGAAAAAAAAAATCAACCCAGGGCGGGATGTGGGGGGGGTGGTTCTTCTAGGTCAGGCTGAGCTAAGACAGGGAAAGAAGATTAATTTCTCAGCAGAGCAATTCAGATTTTTCTGCTGCTCCCTGCTGGGGACTGAGGCTGGTGCCAGGAGCACACTGATCTCCTGGGCACACACGTGTTTTGGTTGTCACCCCTGGGGTGGCACTGAGCAGGATGTCCCCAGATCCATGTCCTGTGTGGGAGGTGTAGGGGGATTCTCACCCAGCAGTGGGTGATGGAGGTGGGAAGAAGGTGGAATATCAGGGATGATGAGGGCCAGGGGGGTTCTCAGCACCCAGCGAGGAGGAAGGGGACAGCTGTGCCCCCAGCTGGGCTGGGACAGGCAGGGAATGAAGCCCTGAGCCTGCCCTTGTCACCCAGCCGTGCCCACACACCCACTGAGCGGGCCCTGAGCAGTCACACTTGTTTTTCACTCCCCAGGAGTGCTGGGAGCTCTAAAGCCAGCGGATTATTCTCCAAAGCAAAGGCCTGGCCTGCTGCCAGCCCCTGGCAGGGAGCAAACAGCCTGGGGAGGCATTTCCCAAAGGCTCAGCTTGTTCCTGGGTCACACTCTGACTTTGTACCCCATTCAGCAGCCTCACACTCACTCAGTGCAGACACCAAGAACCTCAGGAGAGGTTCCCAAAGGTGGGGAGGAGGCAGGAGGTTCCCAGGAGACCCCACTTGGTGTCTGAGCCTCCCTGGGCAGAGCATCCCCTGCCCAGTGTGGCTTCTCCAGGGTGTTGTAGGGATTCAGCAGAAGACAGGCACAGGGAGGGAGATGTCTCTCGTTCTCCTCTTTGCACAAAACCTGTAGGAGGTTCTTTGGAGACCTGTGAGCCTGGGGCAGTGGGAAGGAAAAGCTGGAAGCCAGCTGGAAACTCAGGACACAAGAATCCTACACTGGATTCTTGTGGTTCTTGTGGATTCTTCTTAAATCCTGCAGATTTAACCCAGCACTGGGGGTTCCTGGTGTAGGTTCCAGTGTCCCCTGGGCACTGTGGGGAGCTGCCTGGAGGAGAGCTGGCTGATGGGGCCAGCCTGGGTACCATGCCCCAAAGGAGTGGACTGAACTCAATTGCCCTAAACTGGAGGCAGCTTTGGCATCATGGAGCTCTTCCTGGGGATCTGGGGATCACCACTGTGCTGGGACCAGCACCAACACTTCAGCCGTGCCCAGGAGAACATCAGGACATCCCCACTGCCAAAAGCAGGGGTTGGGGGCTACACTCAGCCTTTCCTGTCCCATTTATTGGCCTCTCCTGCCCCACACTCTCTGCAGTGGGTCAGGCAGCAGAAAACCAGAGCTCTGCTCACAGCGCTGCTCCCCAGGAAGGGTTAGAGGTAACAAGGTCAATCTGCAAGGAAGAGGAGGGTGGGGACACTGTGATCCAGCCCCACAGGCTGTGCTGGCACCCACAAACCCCCTGCACCCACAGCCCAGGGTCACCCCACAGTGATGCTCCCCGTGCCACAGAGCCCATGGGGCGGTGTGGGGCCACCAGAGCAAAGGACACGGAGTTCCGCCACCTCCCTTCCGACCATGGGGGCCTTTTCCCCTGAGAAAAGGATATTTTCATGCTTCCTCCCCACAGGAACTAACAGAAATTGCTTAAATGGCTGCATGGCTCTGGGGACAGGCCCTTTCGGAGCTGAGCTGCACGCAGGCAAGGGAAAGCCCAGGGGACATTTTAATAACAAGCAAGGAGAGCTATTGAAGTGTTTTACTGCCTCGTTAAGGCACTCTAATCTCTGTGTATATCTGGAAAAAAAAATTGGCTGGCTGGTGTTTTTATTGTAACAGAGGTGGGTGTATTCTGGCACGGCTGGGATCCCGCCTGCTTTATCTGCTTGTTTTCTTACCTGATACCAGCAGTGAACAGCCCAAGAGCAGCTCAAGGGCAGCAGCAGCAGGGTCAGGGCCAGGCAGGCCAGGAGGAAGGCTGAGGATCTGTGCTGTGGGCTGTTTCCTACCCACATGTGCTCTGCACCCCATTGCTGCACCCACCTTTCAGCCAGATGCAGGTCCCCAGGTGTTTCCCCAAGGGAAGTTTGGGAAGTTGGCTCTGCACATGCCTGGGATCCCTCATCCAGGCA